GGACCAAATCATGTCCATTGGAGAAGGCAGTCACGACGCACTGGAACCAGAGGAACCAGAGGGGGAGTTGGATTCGTGGCAAACATACTTCAGTAAGCAGTTTTCAAATCTTTTTAGGAGGGTAGGGAAAATAAGAAACTACAAAGTAGCAGCTGAATTTTTTGAAAACCTCACCCCAGTACAACAGAAAGGGCGTCGAGTCCCGATTTCGTTGCAAGAAAAAGTGGATGCCGAAATTGACAAATTATTGAAACAGGGTCATATCGAAAAATTATCTGAATGCTCGGACAAATATTTTGTGTCCCCAATAGTAATAACCGTAAAAAAGGATGGATCGGTAAAATTGGCACTAGAGTCGAGGGAACTAAATAAACAAGTGCATAAGAATAAATACCAGATGCCGAATATCGAGGAACTAATGGACACGGTTGGGCAAACGATTAGCGAAAAAAAACAGGGAGACGTATATTTCACAACAATGGATTTAACATACGCTTATAGCCAATTGCCACTAAATGCGGAGACGAGCGTCCAGTGCAATTTTTCGCTAATTGGAGGTCGTTCGACGGGTACATACCGGTTCAAAACCGGATTCTATGGCCTCACTACAATGCCCGCGGAATTCCAACGCGCAATGGATTGTATACTCGCCGAATACCCGCAAGCGCACACGTTTATCGATGATATTTTGGTCGTAACCAAGGGAACGGCAATAGACCACATAGCAACGGTGGAGAAAATTTTAAAGAAACTGGATCGGGAAAATATGTCTTTAAAATTGACAAAATGTAAATTCGCCCAACGAGAATGCGAATGGCTAGGACATAAAATAACTCCGACTGGAATTACTCCATTGGTTAGAAAAACAGAACCAATAGAAGCGCTGACGCCGCCACGGACTTTGTCGCAATTAAAATCGTTTATGGGGTCGATACATAGCTTGCATAAGTATCTACCGGCATTGGCCGAATCATCGGCACCGCTGCGGCCCCTATTAAGCAAAAATAACGAATACATTTGGACACCTGAATGTCAGAACGGGTTCGAAAATCTGAAGAAACAAGTTTCAAACATTGTTGAATTACGGCACTTTGATATCCACAAGGACATTCGCATAGTGTGCGATGCAAGCCATAATGGGCTCGGCGCGGTGTTGGAACAGTTGGGACCAGAAGGATGGCGCCCAATTTCGTTCGCGTCGCGATACCTTAACGAGGCGGAAAAGAAATACTCAACAAACGAATTGGAAATGTTGGCAGTTGTGTGGGGGGCTGAATACTTTAGAAATTACATACTGGGCCGAAGTTTTTTGATCGTTACCGATCATAAAGCCCTGATATCCCTTTTGAACGGTAATAACAAGAAAAATAAGACGATATTTAGTCGTTTAACTCGCTGGTTAGATCGACTAATTCCCTTTGATTTTCAAATTGAGCATAAACCGGGGGCTAAAATTGGTTTGGCGGACTATTTATCACGGCATCCAAGTAAAGAAGCAACGCCAATTAGTACGTATGATAATATGTTCACGGTGGCAAAGATCAACCTAATTCGCACCGCGCTTGGCTTTAATACATCCAGGGGACCTAATACATCCAAGGGACAAAGTTGTACAGCGAATAAAAAGCTTTCTATAAATAGACTGGAAGTTTCGTCATATAACGATTCGGTAGAGGGCGGCAAAACATGTAAGCGGAAATCAACCAATCAGATGCAACCACGTGTTTTAAGCCGACGGCTAAGCGATATGCGCACTGGATTAGTTAGGGCTATTATTCATTCAGAACACAGTTGTTCAAAATTATCCAAATCCAATCTTCAAAATCAGAATATTCTTACATCCATCCCTCAAAATTTTAAACCGAATAACAACATGGACCGAAACACGCGCAAATGGCAGAATTTTCTCAAACAGCATCAAAGCCTAAATAGTAGTAGCGACGAAATCGAAGAATTGCCCTCAAATGTATCACTAGAAGCCATTACAAAAGAGACAAGATCGATACGCACAAATACAACTCTCTCGTTACCCTCGGAATTCAAAGGAGAAACAGTACCACCAGTGGACCCTAACCTTGTCTGTATGTCAATTATACCGCGAAATTGTAAGATCGTTAATAAAACTACTGCATTACCTGACCTGTTTAACTTAAAATTCATAGAATCAAATTATGTATCGGACCCCCAACTGAGCGCTATTCGCGATCTCATTGTTACACAAGATCCGGAAATTCATGACAAAGTTACTCGAATGAGCCGCTATCACGCTCAATTCGTCAATGATTTCTCAGTGCGGGAAAATGTAGTTTGGATGGACGATAAATTAGCAATCCCAATTAACCTCCAGTCAGCAATCAATAACAGAATACACGCGTACCATCACGGAAAGTCAAATATGTTCGATGCCACAAAGGACATCTGGTATCCCTACATCTACCGCTCAATAGCCTCCATTGCCGAGGGGTGCCCTGAATGTACTGCAGCCGGTAAGAACTTAAAGACGTTAATAGGAAAAAATCAACTGGGATCTGTACCAGAACCAAAAGAACCGAATGAATCTGTCCAATTAGATTTTTGGGGTCCCATCAATTACTTAAATGTATCCTCTAAATATGTGCTCGTAGCGGTCGACCGGTTCTCTCGTTGGCCATCGGCAATGATCTGTGGAAATAATCGCTCGGACAAAATATTGAAATTCTTGAAGAGTTATATATCAAACCACGGGGTGCCTCGGAAAATCCATATCGATCAGGGAACTAATTTCATGTCAAATGCGGTAAAAGCTTTTTGTAATGGGGAAGGCATTGAAATCATTAAATCACCTGTAAACGACCATCGGGCAACCGGGTGTGTCGAGCGTACCATTGGAAGTCTTAAGAATTCAATCCTTACTTTCGCTCACGAAAAAAATCCTGAACCCTTGGAGAAAATGGTCGAACGGGCCCTTGGTGCTCTCAGATTCTCAAAAAACTCAACACTTAGAATTTCGCCTTTTGAAGCTCATCATGGTAGAGAAGCAAACACCGTTTTACGGAATCTTACTAAAAAACCATCGCTGCAGAATCTGGATTGGTCACGGGTAATAAAAACGAAAAATGCTTGTTTAGATGACGCCGATCCTAGTGCGCAAGATATGCCCCATCCAGCCGACACAAACTGGGGTGTACGATCAGATCTCGACTATGACATTAAAAACAGAACCCATGCACGACGCCTTACTGTGGATCAAGCTGGAAATCAAGACGACGAACCGTCGATACGGAAAAGTTCAAATCCCGCAGGGCAACCGGGACCATCCGGATCGTTGTTTCAGCGCACTGGAAACAAAAACTTAAAAAGGTATAGACCAGTTCATTCTAATATTAGATCGGAAAGTGCACATACACTGACGTTAGATAATGGAGTTGTGCTTAGGAAATCGGGAGTGGCCACGAAACCCATACCAAAGAAGAAATCAAGAACCGCAGCCAAATCCGTACTACCGGTACCAGTGATCGAAGCGAAAAAACGGGCTACTCAAACAACACTACCACCGCCAACTCCGCGCGAAGTGAAGGACCGATGGACCAAGCGGACTGCGGAAAAGAAACGGGAGAGGACCGGGCGCCGATTCGAAGAAACTTACTCTGAATCGGAGGACAGCGAGGATCTACCGATTATCTCGGTAAAACGTACTCAACAGCAAGCAACGACCACTCAAGTAGAACGCTCAGCAACAGCAATACCAGAGGCCGAAGCTGAAACCGACCAGGACACCATTCCGGCACTAGGCGGCGAGTTGGATGCTCCAAATCCAGGGGTGCAAGTAACGGAGAATCCAGGGGTGCAAGACCCAACAAACCCAATAACCACCGGAAAGAAAAAGGGAGCCTCATCCAGGAAAGCTAGGCTGGTCTCTTACAGTAGCCAGGGGGACAGCCAAGACGAGACATCATCCACAACGTCTAGAAGAAGTGGGCGGAAAAGAACGGCGGTCACCAAAATGGGGGGCGTAATGATTGATTTTATCAATCAGAACAAGGAAGGAAAAAATTGATCGTCGAATCCTAGAAACTTCAAACTTTGTTAAACTGTTCTAACCCAGGGAGAGGGTGAGTCACTACTGGCTTAAAACTCAATCGTTATCACTATCAGTGATCCTTTAGTTATTAACAAAAAGTCGTCATTTTAAAGCCTGAGTTGTATACTGTAACATGAAGCTAGTAATTCTTTTCAACTATCTGCAATCAATCAACCACCTATTTTTCTAACCATCTATTTCGGTCATTAAAGTAAACCTGCAAAATTATTTCTACTTAACTAAAGTTTTCATTATCGAAGGAGAAGTGTCGTATTGAGTAATTTAGTTCATTTCCAAAGCTGTCAATCAATTGTTCACTCTTGGTGCTAGACTAATTGATTAGCAGGTGTTTGTCCTTGGATCTGTCTGTCACCCTTGGATATTGTTTCTAACCACTCTTGATGCTAACTTTGCAAGATTAAGTTACTGTATATTTATCTCGGAATTAACAATTGCTCGACGATCGTTTTACCTTCTCGACACGTACCTGTGATTTGTCTTGAAAAAAAGTCCACACTTGACCTTATTTTCTAGCCACTATTAACTGCTTATTTTCAGTAACCAAGTATTCACAAAATAAACCTGACTTGTTAACCACAAGGGAACTGAAGATTTTTAAATTCCTTTGTGGTTCACAAGTCAGGTTTATATTGTGAACAATTAATTACTGAGTCTCATAAGTTTGTGTTCCGACTGCTCTTAAAAGTAGATAAGAATTATTTCTCGGTTTTTTTCCGGAAAATTAAGACTGAATCATCACTGAGTCTTAACAAATAGCATTTTGTCTATCCACTCCAAGTTATTTAATTTGATTATCTTCTGTATTGTTTCTGAACTTAAAACCAAATAACTTTGGACTAGTAAAATCTTTCTCTTTCTTTCTTTCTTTCTTTCTTTCTTTCTTTCTATCTATCTATCTTTCTGTATATTTGAGTCTTACCATGGTGGCTTTGCCCGTTCCCCGCACACTGTTGTACGTGTGGCTGGGGGCGGGGAGTATGATGTTCTGCTTCCACATCCGGTCTCTCAGCTCCTTGCACTCTCTCAGGAACTGCTTGTAGTGCTGCTCCTGCTGCATCAAACTCGTGGCACTCTTCCTGCTCTGAACAACAAGAAGAAGAAGAATAAGAAATGAGATGGTTAATGGACTCAAACAGGTCAGTGAAAACAAATAGATCAAAAACCATAAAAAGAATTTGGTATTAACTACCAATAGCATGTAATCTGATCACTTATTTGTCTTTTTTTCGGCGCGACTTACCATTCTGAACAAAAAGTGCTGAAAATCTAAAAAGAGTTTGATCGCAGCTCAATGAAAGCATCTTTTTATAACAAGAGAAAGAACATTGTCAGCAACAAAACTACATGTGTAAGGAAACACATATGCAAGGTAAAAATTTAAGCTATAATTAAACCTGAATAAAAAAAGTTTCTCCTTTCTATTTAAATTTTTGCCATTTTGCGCGTAGTGTGATTATAGGAAGCTGAGCACGTTTATAAATTTATCATAATCAGATACAAAACAACAAAAAAACTTGAAAAAAAGTTTAGTTTAATAAATACGTTTTTTTTTTTTTTTTTTTTGTTAAAATTTTTTATGCAAAAATTTTTCTTATCATGGAAGCGCTAGATAAAACTAATTTTTGTTTGTCTGAAATAAAATGAATTTTATTATTCCAGGTTAAGCTAAAATATGTTAAAATGAGGAAACATTTCATATTTGAATGCTTAAAACGATTTTTGATGGGTTGATGAAGAACTGGAATATTTCCGAGCCATTCCAGGTTTAAAAGAATTTCAAAAAAATTTAAACAATTACAACGAATAATAAAAATTTCAGTGATGGCAATTCAATTCTTAGACGCTTAGATTCGGCAAGATATTGCTCTTAGCTAAACAACAACACGAAGTTGTAACAATCTCAGCTTGGCCAAATTCAGTGAATTATTTTGCTTGGAATTAGCAAAAGGTATAAAATGCGAACATAGTCTTGTTCCAGATTTAAAAAATTTTCAACAGAATAAGTGAATCATTTGACATCTGAAACAGTTGAAGTATTATTGAGTTACGAGTTCAGTTGTTCAGTATCGTTGGAAATTTACAGTATTGATTTCACCGTTTTCACAAACTTAATTGAAAATATATCAAATTTTAGCATTTTATGATGCACGTTTGGCACAATTGTAAAGTCCACATTAGGGCGACCAAAGTACCGGGTTCGAATCTGACCAGGAACTGTTATTTTGGCAAGCTAAAAGATTTCCTCTTGAAAAAAAAACTAACGGCCTATAAATTGGCTGCCTATTTTTGCCGGCTGAAAACCTTTTCGGACTTTTTGGTGATTTAAATTTTCTTTACTACAATTGAAAAAATTTTCATTCCCATGTAAGTCACACGAACGTTTTTTATCTTAGAATTTTAGTCTAGCTATAGTATAAAAACTCTAAATTTTGGTTGTATATAATTGCAGAAAAAATTGAAAAAAGATTTTTCTCATTTTTTAAAAAATTATTTCTTCCCCTAATTTTAGTCAATCAAATGAGCTCCCATGAATCTAGGGTGTGTTAGCGAATGGCTGAATTGTCACTATTTTTGAAATATCTTGAAGCTTTTGAAGAATATTAAAAATGTCACTGTTTTTTGCTGTCAATTTTTCCCACGCCTAAACATTGGCACATAATTTTGCACCGCAAATGTTGCGAAACTCTGGGGTGAAAGGAGCAACATAGGAAAGAGAATTGATGTTGTGCCCATATTTATGTTCTATATGCATTTTTACACTTGCAAGCGTTAGTGTATTAGTACGAACTTTTTTTCTAACCTAACTGCACGCAAATAAGTTTTCATTATGTGGTTTTCATTATTTGGTAATAATTCGAGGCTTGTTTCTGCTGTTTCTTATTGCACTTTATAGAGCTGATTTTTGGTCGTGTTTTCGCTAGTGTTTAAGAAGCTTAGCTTCGCCTCTGTGTTAGATTATTTTTTTGAACTGAAAAATTTTGCTTCACGACCTGAGCCTCCACTTGGCGACCTTTCGAATGGCATGCAAAGATGTTACAACATAGTAATTAAAATATTCGCTACTTCCTCGCATGTTTTCTGCCGCCTTAAAAACTGTCTTTACAGACCAGGCTGCTTTTGATGGAACCGAAAAACACCTTCTGGAACGCGACTGCCATGAAGTAGAGGCTGGAAATGAGCTGCATGCTTCCGTGAACTCCGATAGTGAGCAGGTCGGTGAAGTTGGCGAATGCCTGCAGCTCGCACGAGTCTTCTGGAGCCCAGTAGTGGAACATCTGGCTGCAGTTCACAGGCTCAATTGTGAAGTCGATGGTGTATTTGAAGTGTCGGTAGAAGAGATGGAGGATGGCGAACCCCACAACCAAAACTGTCAGCAGGAAGATCTGCGTCAATACATACTTATCCTAAATATTACAATTTTAAACACATGGTTTTTTATTTACAGTAGTATCTACAGTGTACTGAGAAAATTAATTTCAAGCAATGTTCAAAAATTGTCGGTTCATTTTTTGAGCGCTGAAGCAAAGAAGCAAAAAACAAAGTAGATTATTTGTCAAGTTCGTTTTCGTAAAACAAACTATTGAATCAATTAATTGAAATTTCTAGAAAATTGAACATATGTTTATCAATTTGGCCGAAAAAGCAATAGAGACAAAACTGCTCGTATATCAATGTTCCGACTGCACTTTACCCCCAATTTAAAAAATTTGGTTAAAGAAATGATAAAATAATCAAAAAATGAAAAAAAGCCAATTTTTGATATTTTTGTCTTCATTTTATTTCCCCACGCGCTATGAAAAATCCAAATGGACAAATTTAGCGTCTTTTACTCAAATAAGGACAAAAGATTTGCCTCAACTCAACTTGCAACGATTTCTCTCGGCGTTTCGCGTGTGATTAGACCGCAATACATCGCGGGTTAATGATCCCAAATAGGCCAAATTTTGAAGCCCTCATAACTTTACATAAAAAAATTGCAGCTTCGGACATCACAATCGTTTATAAGGTGTAAAATAAGGATAAAATTCAAAATTAAACGAATTAAAAAACCATCCCAAGCATAACCATTCCGTACTTTCTTCAAAAGTTGAAGCAAAAACTTAGTTTCGCACCATCAAAACTGCCTACTGACCTGATGCTGACAATTGCCATTATCGAGTCTCAAAAAATTCAGTAAATGAAGTTTTGACCGCACACGGGGTTAATATGATCTGTCACAGGGGGCGGATTTAAGAAGAAGGCGTTTGCTCCCCCCCCCCCCCCCTCAGGGATTCGACCCCCTGCCAACCCAAAGGGTCCTCCCTTTGTACTATTTTGAGATATCATTTTTGGTGACGGACCCTATAACTTTACCAAAGGCGCCTTAGGCGCCAATATATAATTTTTTGAGGTGTCAAAATTTTTCAAAAGTGCTTAAAAATGCCTTTTTGGCCAATTTTTTCAGAAATTGGGGCGCAAAAAAGTAGTCCAAAACAGGGACTTTTTAGTGCTTCGGGAGAGCTCGAAAAATCAATTTGGTCGACCTAAAAGAAACAGGTCGACAAAATTTTCAAAATTTTTTGAATATCCGCATCCCCTCAAGAAAATCCTAGATCCGCCCCTGATCTGTTAGCTTGATTCAATTCAATTTTATACGATTTTGTAGTGCAGTATAATTTACCACTGCCTTATAATTTGCGCTAAATTTTCTTTCAAACTCGGGTCATTTTTTTTGGCTTGGTGTGATAAAATGATCTTAACGAAAAATTAAAACCTAAGAATTTTCGACAGTTTTAGTAAAACACACAAAATGGAGAACAATTTTTGAAGAAAATGACTAGAAAATTTAAAAAAATCAATTTTTTTCTGCCGTTTTTTGAATTTTTGAAGTTTTTGATTCTAAATGTGCGCTATAATACTGAAAAAAAATACATTCCTTGATTACAACTAGGTTGCTAGGGTGTAAAATCAGCTATTGCAAGCTTTGAAGCCATTAAAATAAGCTATGGCAATCTTATTTATTCGCTCGAATTATGAAGAAAACTCAAAAGTTTCAAACAGGTTTTTCTAGACAGTGGGAAAACTTTTTGGAATTTTTAATGTATACCGAATCTCTCTGAAAAGGCTCTAATATATTATATCACTCGACCCCTTCCGATGATTATTTGTGGTACCTGATTTTGCATGGAAAACAAAAAGAAAAAGCAAAAAAAGAGGGAAAAAACTAAAACTCACCAGAATACAAAGCCGGAACAATAAGTCAAAGAATTGCCGCATCCCCTTGTTTTAGAATTTTCACGACGATAGTTATAAAAATTAAAACTACGCAGAAGTGCTTCTAACCTTAAAGTTGTCTTCAATATTTTTGTGTATTATCCTAAGTTTTGTAATAATCTGTAATAGTCTGGGCACAACAGTTGATAATATTTGTGGCTTTCACCATATTTAGAAGTTCGATAAAAAAAATTAGTGAGGCATTACAATGACATTTCATGTGAGGCCTCACAATTCTGTACCAAAGTTAGTTCTTTTGCATTTTTCCATTGAATACTTTAACCATTTCATTATCCATTTAAGTTTGCTAATATAGAACCAGTTTCACGATGTTTTTTCTAATTTCACTGTTTAGCTTCAAAAAATCATTTCCGTGCCTTTATACCCCTTTTTGTTGCAAAAGTAAATGAAAAACTTGCTTCCTCGCTAACAGAAAAACAAAAGTTTTATTTAACTTGAGTTAATTTGAATTGTTACCAGTTAATCTATCAAAAAAGTCTCTTCCTGTCAAAAAAGTTTTTCATACAAAAATTTAAGGGTATTATATACTTCGTAACAATGATTTATTTCGAAAATAAACTTTCAATAGAAAAAGAAGCAAAATTTTTGTACAAATTTTTCTTAACAAAAATTTTTTGTATACCGGAAAAAATTTGAATGCTTTTTTAAATTTTTTATTTTCAATTTTTAGAAAAATTTGCATAACTTATGAGATTTTTTGCGTTATTTTTTTCATCGACTTTTGGTTCACAAACTATGTGGTTAGATGCTCCTTGCCAATTGTGGGAGACTACGGTTTCAACGTTAGAAATAGAACCTCGTAATTTTTTGTTTGTATAGAATAACGATTTTTCTGAAATTTTAATGAATCAGAAAATTTGAAAATTTTATCATTTCTATTTAGGGACTGAAGACTTGTTTTGAGTTGAAAAGTTGTTCGAATATAAAATCATAAATCTTTTTCTGACTTTTAAGTTACTGTGATTTTTTTATAAAAACTCGAAAAACCAAACTATTTTTTTCCAACATGTTTCCCACTTATATTTTTTTGCACAATGTATGATAAAAAAATTGAATTTTAATTTTTTTGCAGTCAACAGTTTTGTCAATATTGGATTGCAGTTAACAGTTTTGTCAATAATTGTTTTTTAGAATTCAAACTATCCAAGCTAGACAATTGCTGGGCACGAAAACAGCTTTTTGTCGATCCGTTCCATTGTAAAACTGTATAATCTTTGATATTATTTGCGTAAGATTTGATTTGGTTTGCAGAACGAACTTTTCTTTCTTTCTTTCTGTCTTTCGAGAATCCTAGATCCGCTTCTGCTGCGGTCGGAATATTTTGTGCTTTTTTGAATGAGCCAACAAGGGAAGACATTAGCGGACCAAACCGTCCCGTTGTCGATCCTCTCCGAGTAACATTAGATTGATTAAGATTAATTGTTAAATATAAATGTTTTATTGATAATGCTTATGGAGAAAAATATATTCTTTCTTCACTAACTACAAGTGTCAAGTAGGAGATGGTGGGAAGGGTGTTGGACAGCATTAGTTTGTAGGCCACAGCAGTCAGCACCAGAGTCAGTCCCCCCGCCAGCCGGAACTGCACATTGTCCGGATGATTGACGAAGTTGCAGTAGCTCATCACCGCAAAAAAAGCCTGATTAACACAACAACCAATTTGAAATTGTATGTAATTTGGTGCGTAACTAAAATTTGGCGCGGATCTCGGGCAGGCGGGGGATGTTGATTTTTAAAAAATTAGAAATTTCGTCGACCTAATTTTTAGATCGACCAAACTATTTTTCCGAGTTCTACCAAAAACTCTATTTTCCCCTTAAATCTGTTACTCAATGTAATAAAGTGACCACTTTGAATAAATCATTTTTCAGGATTGTTTTTGTAAATGGTACCTTTTTCCACCAGTAGCATTATCAGCTGATTCATAATTCTTATATAATTCGCTAGGGTTTGGATCTGGACAATTTTTATGTAGCCATATCGGCTCCTTGACAATTTTACAGTAGGGGTTAATAACGGAAATGAAATTGTTAGAATTGAGAAACTTTTCAACCGAATCGCGCAAACATTAGTTTTGTAGAATGAAAAATGTTTTTTTGAGCGTGAAAAAATTAATATGATTGGAAAATGTTGTTTATAAAAGCAGCTAACCATGACAAGGAAGCAGTTGTAGAGATGGTATGCACTCTTGCGTCTGACATTTGTGCGAACTACCAGCTCATGGTCGGGACTGGGAGGGTCGGAGGCTGCCCGAGCACCTAACGCATCCACGTTGTTCTCCCCGTTCTAAATCGCAACGACTCTCAGTTGGAAAATTCGGTTTTGGAGTCAGGTGATCAGTTCACATATTTGGATCAATCACACTTGTAAATACCAGCCAAAGTATAGGCTCCCATATAATAAACCAGCTGAAAATAATGAGCCAGTTACATAATAATTGTTAAACAGTTATGTCGTCACAGATACGAGAATCGCGCTTTTAAACAAGTAATTTTCGACTGCTAATTTAGTCTGCTCATTTTTGGTTCGCTCAAAAAATCCGATTTATACTTCGGTTGGTTTGCTGGGACTTGTAACTCACGACAGCCATGAGACTGAGGTCCCACTCCTGTGCGTCCTGGAAGATAGTGTGAGTATCCAGCAGTCCCGCCGGAGTGCCAGGCGGAGCCACCTTCAGCTTGAAATAGTGAGCACAGGAGGGGTCCAAGGTAAAACGCACACAGATATCCTACATCAAATAAAAAACATCTAGCAACATTCTGGAATGAGTATTTTGCAGATGTTTTGTGTGGAACAGGATGAGATCTGCAGATCTTGCCTGGACATCGAAAGGGAAGTCCTCCAGTTCCAGGTACTCGAAGAAGACTCCCTTGAGAGTGCGGAACATCTCAACATAGGCGACATCAATCGAGCGCATGTGGATTGGGCGGGTACTCGCTCCTGTGTTGGGACAGGGGTAGGGTTTCAGTTTGTAGTGTACCCTGTCGCTTATGATTGCTTCTAAGTTGTTTACGTTTATCTTGGGCAGTATGCGTCTCACTTGCTCCACGTTGTCCTCGCTCTGCGTATAACAAAACGAATATTTTTTAAAGTTATTGATCAACGGTGGATCGAAACTTTACTCGAGGGGACATATTTTGTAAAAAAAAATTGTCGACAAAATTGGTTTCCCATTATTGACGAAAAGTAGGAATAAAAAGATCCGCCGGCAATAAAATTAGAACCATAGGCGAGAAATAAGAGCATGATTCTCATTTTGGTAATTATCGTTGTCGAAAATCAGCAAAGTTTTGAATGTCCTCTCAATTCAAGATACTTTGCATGGCTTTGCGGAGTGCTCGGGAGTCAAACTACCTTTCTAAGCTCAAAGACGAAGATTTTTCCATCGTTTAGGACTTAGTCTTCGCAAAATTTTGCCAAAATTCGCAAAAAAGAATGTCTATTTAGACATCTCGATAAGAAAAGTAGTAAAATCCTTCTGGATATGTCTCTGTTTTTGCGTTGACCTTGTCTTAACTGAACTTTCTTAAACTTTTTAAAACAATCTTGACGCTAAACTGAAATTGACTGACCTCTGGAATGATGACTTTGTCTCTGTTTTCGACCACGAACTCGGAGAAAAGAGTAGAGTAGACTGGCTTCCATCTGGCCACTATCTCGATATGGGCCACGAAACGCTGGTTCTTAGTGTCTATGTGCCCGATCTTGAGGAAGCGCACAAACAGACAGATCTCGTTGCTCGTCAACTCACCTCGCGCTCCTGCAGCCAAAAATTGATTATACTTTATACTTTTTTACGATCATTAAAAATGGGGAGCAACTTTGTGTTCGGGTGTGTTTTAGTTTTTTCTTATTTTTAATTTCCACGCAAAATCAGGTACAACAATTGATCACCGGAATGGATCAAATGTATATCATATTAAACCCTTTTCAGTTGTGATCCGAAAACAAATAAAAAAAGTTTTCATAAAAATGTCTAAGTACCGAGAAAGCTGGCTTAAGGAGCGAAGTCTATCATTTTGTACTTTATATGGCGTGTGGGGAGATCTCAACTTTTAATTTTTTCTCAAAAATCTCAAATTTTTATTTTTTGTAAAAAATTTTATTTGTTTGCATTTAGTTTTTTCATGTTATTTTTACTCCATAGACCTTATAAGGCAGACGGAACATTCAGGGCTTCACCCTGATACGAGCAGTCTTGTTTCAATTTTATCATTGTTTAGTTGTCAGATAGAGCTTTAGGAGATATCACAATGAGCAAAAACAAGGACTTTTGATAGATTTGCAGACGCTGTAGTTTGATTTCAATAAACTTTTTGCTGCTGAAAGAAACTCATTGACAATTTCTCATTGGTTTTTTTTAAAATAAGCAATTAAATCTTTGTACGCTCAATAGCAGATATTATCAAGACCCCCCAGTGAACTTACACAAGTTTTTTTGAAGATATTATGCTTGACCGATACGTTTGCCCAATAAGCTTTCTTATTAGGCTTGCGCGGTATGTTTTGCGATGTTCATTTAAAACACAATTTCAACCTCAATTTACGTAATTGTTGTTTCCAAGAGTGGAGAGTAATTTTACCGTTGCGTTATGTTGTTCCTCGCCATTTGGATCAAGTGTAATGTTATTTTAAAAGTCGTTCAAACTAACTCGTATTCAGACGTAGTCAATTTTGCATTTGTTCCTATTTTTATTTAGGTATTTTAGCAAAAAATATATTTAACTCTGCTCATCTGAATCTGATTTTCAGAAAGCTCGTTTTGGTTTTAGCTATGGTAAATTTAATTTGATCAAACAAGCCAGTATCAGACAATAATTCCAAAGTTTTTCGGAAAATCCACTCTCCCTTCAAAAAATTTTAGAGAACTCAAAAAAACTGTTTCTGAAATTTTATCATTATAAACCAATCTTTTAGCAGATCTAAAAAACTTGCTAAAGTTTAATTTTATGCTTGGCTTAATGAAGCAAAAAAATTAAACAAACTTTGGTAAAAATTGATGGTAGAAAAAGAAGTTTTTGCGCCTAAACACCTCGAAATATTTTATTATGGTTTAATTCATAGCATTTAAAAAGTTAATTAAGCACAATCAAGTAAAAAATATGCCAAAATAAGGCTGACATTTTATGAAGGATTGGTTCTTTAAAAACTAGGTTGGAATGGTTCTCTACAGATTTTCTAGTTTTTTTAATCAAATTTTATAAACAAACAATTGTTTTCGGTGTTTACATTTTTTAGTTTTCATTTAACCACTAGAAACAGCTATTAGTTAAAATGAAAATAAAAGGTAAAGTAATCTCTGAAATTAACTAGTTTCAAAAAATTGCTATAAGACCGTAGACATTTTGTAGAAAACAATTTCAGCCTAGTTGTTGAAGAATCAAGCAATTATGCAAGTGTCAGCCTTAGTATGGCCTAAGGACCAGCTGATTGCATTTATTTAGCAGTTTTTAAATGGTATGAACTAAATCGTAACAGTGTTTATGAAATGTTTTATGGAACTTTTTTTTGTTTTCGTCAACCAGTTTTCGTCAAAATCTGATCAGTTCCTGGTGAGATTTTGAAAAAAATTCTCGATCTTTTGAACGCTTTGCCATTCGGCTCATGTGCGGAGCTAGGGGCGGATCTAGGATGGAGGGACGCCTTCTGATTTTTAAAATGTCGGTCGTTTAATTACAACATCAAACTGTGCACTGGATAGGCTCACAATTTGGTGTGTGTAAGTCACTGGAATCCAGAGACAAGTCTTTTAACATGCTAAAATTTTGTCGGAACGATAAAAAAAGCAAAAAGAAGAACAAAGGGAGCGCCCGTGTTGTGGAACTCGCTTATAATTCACAAATTGCACAGTTTGGCCTCGTAATGTTTTTTTTAGATTGACCTAATTGAATTTCTGCTTAAGGAGTTATGTTAGATTACCTGTGGCAAAAACAGCCAGCCAATGCCGTGCTCAGCGCCGTCTGCGACCAATTGAAAAACGATTAGTTATGGGAAAACGACTCATTGTTAGGAAATGGTATTCAGTGATTGTCAAGTTTTTTGAGCAGTTTATTTCCACTGAATGCGTAGAATTACACATGATCTGTTTCTTGCGAAAGTCAATCATTTCAAGTATCGATAAAAAAAGTAGAAAAAAAATGTATCACCCAAATCCCCATAATTTTGCGAAAGTCGACATTTTTCTGGAAAAAATCACCCACTATTTTAAGACAGAACACCTTTAAAAAGTTTTTGAAAAAAAAACTCATTGCGAAACTCTGAGCGCGCAACTCATTGCGAAACTTTGAACAGAGGCAATATCAGCATTTTGAACAATTATATTTATAACCATATTTAGATAGAGAGGAATGTACAATTTTTTTAGTAAAAGAGTAGGGAAGGTGGGCTCAAACGGTTGTTGAACGGGATCCAATTCCTATGGTATCTACTGAAGAATGTCCACCCCTCTAAATAAAACAAAAATTAACACTAGAGCTTTCTATTAAACATTCAATTTTTGCTGCATTCTAATTGGTTGAAGCTCGACTAATTTAATCTACTTAACAATGCGCCCTAGCTTGAAAGGGGGGAGATTGTTAAGTAGATCTGTCAAAACGTGTCAAATCATGTCTCACAAAACACATACCTGTTTGGGCTGGGTTGATAATGGGTATGAATGAGGTGAATCTAGACCCAGATAAGGGCGAGGGGAAGGGGGAGTTCCCCGGACTGCTTCTCTTGGAACTGTTCTTCGAGTCTCTCTTGGAACTATTTTTGGACCCGAATTTGGACTCCATAACGTGCACTTTCATTTCAGGAATGTCAATGGTAGTGATGTTCACTTTGCCGTTGCTTGTCTCATTCGTGGAATGATTGACGCTGTGTGTTTTGTTGTTGCTATTTTTGCTGTCGCTTTCGTTACTGTTGTTGGTTGTTTGCGACGCCATTTAATTGACCTTTCAAGGGCTAGAAATTTTATTCACATCCGATTTTTTGCTTGCAGGAACGATAGTGAAGTTATTGGTCTGAAACACGCAGTGAAGTTGTCTAGTTTCGGATTGCAATTTTTTGTTGGTCTAACTTTAATTTTTTGGTCCAGTTACAAAATTTGTATTCTATAAGTTTCAAAAGAGCAGACAAAGTGTTGATTACTTGATGTGGTTTTTTTATAGAAACGAAACTATCAACAAATGTCAAAAATGGGTAAATTCACTCAGCTTTTTAACTAAAATAACCCGCACTGTTTTCAGGTGATTATTCAGCCTATCAGGTGTTCAATTATTTTCATTTCTGTTTTCATGTTTCGAGAAATGAGGGTTTGAGTCGTTTAAAGGAAAACACAAAAAGAATAAAAATGCAAACAGTGGGCGCTCACCCAGCTACCATCAAAATTTGGCCAGGCGTGAACCCCCATTATTCAGAGGTCAGCGTAGTGTTTGTTTAACTGCTCTTTACCTTTAAATGGGCTGTGTTATCATTTTTTATTAGTGAGGAGGGGGGGGGGGGGGGGGGGGGTGGAATCTTTTTACTTATTCCTCCCAAAAAAAACTTAAGCTCATCATTTTCTAACTGAGCGCGAGTTGCTCTAACTACGCGCTACGGTCGTATTTAATTTCAACCAATCAGATTTAAGCATTTGGTTTTTTGTTTTCATGTTTAAGAATTTCAATTTTGGGCGGAATAAGTAAAAAGACCCTGAGAGGGGGATCTTCATTAGTTACTTTCGACGCCCGAACGACGCATGCAAACTGGAAATCTGCGATGGATTGATTATTGAATAGAAAGTTTAGCGTACCTGAAAATGAGTGGGTTACTAAGTTACTAGCACGTATAGCTTGTGTGTTCATTAGCACACTATATATTTCAATTATACTCAACGTTGCAAACAATTAGCACAGAGGCAAAGTTAAATTCTCCTCAAACGAAAATAGTTTATTGCTTCTACCGCCGCTGAATGGTAGGTAATGAAAAAAATAACTACACGAAAATTTTTAAATAGTTTCCTCAAATGTTGATATTATACAGGCAATAGAAAAGGATGCATCTTTGTAAATTATTAATAAAAAGTATGTTTGTTAAATAAACAAAAATTACTACCAGCAGAATGGAGTGAAATAACGCTCAGTTAGAGTCGCTGCTTTTTCATCAAAGCAATTTTGTCGAATATTTTTTAACCAAATAATGAAAAATTTGCCGTTCAATTTCATTAAGCCTGAAACTTTTTCCACTTCCGCGCTTTTTCACCGTTTGGTATACGGGATGAGTCTTTTTATAGCTTTCAAGTTACTTACTTTAATCAGTGCATAACCAGAGCCTAGTTTGACTCCAAGTTTCAAAATATAAATATATTTTTTAGCCAAGCAACAAATTGAAAATAACCCCGAAAAAGTTCAGTTTGTCACCTATTTAACGCAAAAAAATGCTTTTTTTGCGACTGTTGAAAACAAGGATTCAAAAAAGTTCATGTCTTCAAGCTAACAGCGAACCCTTTCATGGAGCCCGTAAAGTCACATAGTATGTCTGGAGAGCTACTAGATACACCAGCCAAAATTGCGGTACTGTTGCACAAGATTTGCGTAAAAATTATGTAACGCTTTTCAAAGGCATGAGTAACTTTTGACTGGTTTTTATACTTAGTGACGCAAGTATCGGCTGGCTTATAGTTCGGCTGGTTTCATCACAATTGAAAAATCTGCTGTCCTATTTGATTATGGAGGCTCGAACTAAGTCAATCAGGAGAAAATCTTGAACTGAAATTCGACATCATAATTACATTACCATGCTCTTTAAAAATCAGGTTGAAAAACTTTGCCATATGCATCAAAAGATTTTAAATAGATATTAAATAGATATCAAATAGATAAATTTGAATTTCTCGAGGTAGCAATGGTTGCCTCGCTCTAAATGTCAACCAGGAGATATCATATTTTCAAAACATCTTCGTCAAAGAACCTTCTGATAGCAGATTCGCAGGCGCGACATTTGGAATTCCCAAACACAAATATCTTGTCATTACCTGGAGCCCATATCGCTGTGGTCAGAGGCTTCCTACCTCCGAAGGACAAATACAATACCATTGTTTTGCTCATTGGGGGAAACGACGCTTTTGACGGAAGAGAGCCCTCCACGGTCCCTGAAGAAGATATTGCAAACGAACTCGCAGAATTAGCCGAGGTGCTAAGCAGACTAGCAAAGCAGATTTTTGTCATCGAAATCCCTCACCGCAGTGAATATCGATTCCGATCGGCGAGAGTGAATTGCGAAATACAGAAAAAGAAGGGAAATTGGAAGTATAGAGGCGTGTGTGAGAAGATTTACAGTTTTACCATCTAGGCAGTGACGAAATTCACTTAAGCCCAGAAAGTCTCAAGAGCATCAAAAGCATCATAAAGAACAAGATACTGTACAAGAAATACTCTGACGCTTTCAACGACGAAGGTCATCTCACCCAGTACGAGTGCACCTTCCGACACTGCCACTGCCCTTACTGAGTGTAAGCTGCAGGTTTGTGAGCTGTACTTCCCTCTGTCCTTTCTAGAAATATCAAACCGCAGGCGTCCCCTTTTCGGGATCCACAGGTTTGTATATTTCTCTGACCCCATCTAACGTTCTAGAAATATCAAACCGCAAGCGCCCCCTTTTCGGGATCCACAGGTTTGCATATTTCTCTGAACGCATCGTACCGCAGGCGTCTCTTCTCGGGAATCACAGATCCCTCTGTAAAGTCCCCCTCTGTTAACTCTTCAACGATGAGTCGCACATGCCGAAGTTGCAAAAGGTCCTTACCGAAAGCCAAAAAAAGTTACAACTGTGTAGCGTTTGGTTGTCACATGCATCTAGAACCAACATGCACAAGATTATCAAACGTAGCCATCAACGGAATAAAGGAGCTTGGTTGCAACGCAATGTTACTATGTAACGTCTGCATTGAAAACAACGAACGTGACAACTTCATTCGGAACAGGACTGTCAACAACCTGGAAGAAAAAATAAACAAAAACATGTGTTGCAATGCTGAGACACTCGAAACGCAAATTGCTCAAATTGTCGAAAAGAGAAAAAACGAAGCAATGAGGAAAACACACGACAAAGTAGACGGGAGTTACGCAAAGGTCGTGAAGAAAGTTGAAAGCTACAAAAACGTGAATAGTCCTCAAAACTCCAAAAACAATAACAACACAACCACTCACAGCATCGAACACAATGTAAGAGTTCAAGGGATCCATGAAGATCCTAATAAACAACGCGACGTGAATCTTGTCCAAACTCACAAAAAACAAGAGGAAATTTTGGGAACCATAGGAGTTAAACCGAAAATAGTCCAGTTTAAAAGACTTGGAACATTCAACAAAGAAAGGAAAAAGCCTAGAACACTTCTAGTTACGCTTGAAAATCCAGCAGCAGTCAATCTAGTGATTTCAAAAAGTACTGAAAAAAGAGACAAAATGAAAGAAATGAATATATTTCTGTCACGTGCCCTATCTAAAGAAGATTCTATCAAAGAAAACCTCTGCCTGAAACGACGTAGAGAAATGCTTGAAGAAGGCGTACCACGTGAAAAACTGAAAATAAGAAACCTTGAGCTTTTCCATGATGGAGCAAAAGTTCAATTAAACCAGAATTCCCAGCCAGAACAAGAAAATGCAACATCCAACGTTTTACTGGATCATCTCCACATTTTACAATTTGATACACGCAGTTTAGTTAACTATGAAAGAAGATTCAAAATGGCAAATGCCATAAAAATTGGTTTGTACAGCGTTATTTGTATCTCTGAGACCTGGTTAAACAAAAATATCTCAAACTCTGAACTACTACTTGCTGAATACAACATTTACCGAGCAGATAGAGCACATCAGTCGTCTAACACTCACGGAGGTGCCCTGATTGCCATTAAGAACTCACTAAATTCCTAAAAAATAAAACTCGACGTCGAATGCTGTGTCCTATGTGACATAACCCTAGCAAACGAAACCATCTATATATGCTCCTTTTACAACCCTCTAGAGCCAGTCAATACAGATATGACTACCAATGTTTCAACAAAATTCTCGAAGCCATCTCTAAAAAGAGTAAAGCAGTCATATGTGGAGACATTAACTTTCCATCTACAAACTGGGACATCTTCAACAGTCAAGAAAACGATGAACAAGAAACCCTAGAAATGTTAGAAGATAGGCTTCTTCAACAGAGCATTAACTTTTCGACCTGCGGCACAAACACGTTGGACGTTTTTCTGTACCGAAACTGTCAAGTATACTCTGAACACGATGAAAATTTTGATAAGATCTATGACTACTCTGACCATAATGCAATCAGAACAGCAATAGAACTTGAACATTTCGATCCTCCCCCAGCAATGACAAACTTCAACAGTTTTGGGTCAGGAGATTATGACCGGATTGTTGGTGCCATGAAAGATCGGCCCATCAATCCCCAATGCTACACCAATGTTGACAATATGTACAATGAACTTCAAGACTACTTAACCGACTTGATAGACACTCACATCCCAAAAAGAACCAAATATCGTCAATCGCTACCACCTTCGATTACACCGAGTACATCACATCAGATGAAAATGCTCAACACGCAAAAGAGGATGCTCGAAAAACGACCAACTAGCTACCAAAAAAATAAGGTCCTCAAACTAGAAAGCCAAATCACTGAATTATGTGAACATGATCGAATCTCATACCAAGAAAAAATTTTTGGTTCAAGAAATTGTGGTCAAATTTACAAGCACCTTAAGAATATCAATAGAGCTTCGAACATCCCGAAAACGATCAAGTTCAAAGACAAAATGACATCAATTCAAGAAGAAAAGGTAGAAATGTTTAACACATTTTTTCACTCAGTGTTTTCAGCCAAAGAGAACTACAACTTCCTTGACATAAAGTGCAAATCACCAACCCTAACAAACTTCAGCGTTTCAAACAAAATAATAAGTAATATTCTGGCAAATATGGACACTACAAAAAAACTCGTGGACCAAATGGTCTACCTCCCGGGTTTTACCAACGATGCGGCAAACAAATGAGTAATATACTCAATAAGCTTTTCAAGAATATTAAACGCATACGCAAAATGCCAACGAGTTGGAAAACAGCGGCTGTAACACCCATTCACAAAAAGAACGACCCAAAAGATGTTGAAAACTATCGCCCAATCCTCCCTTCTAAACATTGACAGCAAAATCTTTGAAAAATGCATGTACTCTCCACTCCACGAGCACTTTAAAGACCATCTTTCCATAAACCAACACGGTTTTGTGAAGAAACGCTCCATTATGAGCAAAATGCTCCAATTCCTAAATCGAAACTACAAAGCCCTGGATGAAAATCCCCATGATGAGATCATTGCTTTTTATGCTGATTTCTCCAAGGCCTTCGATAAAGTCCCCCCACAAGTTATTACTCCAAAAGTTGAGTGATATTGGTGTAGGTGGATGCCTACTCGAAATCATCTACGACTATCTCAGAAACCGAAGGCAATTTGTTCGGGTCTATTTCTACACATCCACCGTCCTCGAAATAACCAGCGGGGTACCCCAAGGTTCACTCCTGGGCCCACTCCTGTTCTGTGATTTTATAAATGATCTCCTTGAAGTCCTACGCTTGAGTGACCCCTCAATACTTGCTGACGATCTAAAAATTCTATCTGTTGGACGCAAAGAAGATGAAATACAACTTGACTTAAGCAATATTGAAGATTGGGTTAGACAAAACAACATGGAACTGGCATTCGAAAAATGCGCTCAAATAAACTTTAGAGGTGCTGATATAAATTTATTTTTGAACGGAAATCGTGTACCTCAGCCAAAATCTACAAAAGATCTGGGTATTCGCATGTTAGGAGATCTTAGTTGGAGCACTCATCTAACCGAACGATTAAAGAAAGCAAACAAATTACTATTCAGTCTAAGACGAAATGTAGCATATAA